AAGAGGTACAACTTTTACACAGTGGAAAACCAATCAAAGGCGAGCTGAGCCAAATCGAGTCGAACTGGTACTGTGTAGTGGAAAAGTGCCATTAGAGACTGCCATACTCCGAGACCTAGCCTGGAAATCTAGACGCACCCTAGCGGCAGCAAAAATTATTTTGCAGCAAAGTGTGGTCTAGCAACTCTCCGTTGACTTTCGTAGTGGAAAAACCAAACTCTGGTCCGGCCAGTCACATCGTGTATAGAGTTGGTGGGCGGGCTTAACATAATGACAGCAGAGTTGTGACTGGATGACTTGGAGTTAAGAGAACGTCACTTAAGTCATTCTTAAAAAAGGAAGATGTGTTCGGAGTTTTGACGACCGGATACGGCAAAAGTTTAATATATCAACTTGGACTCACTCATCCACAGCCGTTGCTCTGGTTGGTTGTGGCGCTATCCTATTGCGTGCAGAGGGATATTGAAAGACAACCTTTTATCCCGCCCCGCGGACTGAGGTAAGCGAATTGTGAGTTCCCAGACCTAACATCTTGATAGGCCTTGCTTGCCAGGCTATCCGAGACCCTGAATATAACAGTGCCAGTCCCGCATCGACGCATTTGGTGAAAGTTCAGGGTGATAAAGAAAGACTGAATGGAAGAGCTCGAAATTGGTATGCTTCACCCCCGAAAGCAAACCTCAGGAATTTCCTGTGTTGTGGAAGGATGCATGCTAGAGATCTATCGTGACAAACCAGTCCTCGGGATCTGATCTGTGACGCAATCTATCTGGGGGTTAACATTTTGAATTTGAGCAAATCCGCCTATTAGGCTTGCAGCAATGACATGGTGTGTAAACATGCTGCAGCCTGACCAGTGTTTGCTTTACTCACCAAAGCTGAAGCTCTTCTGACCGGTATTGTGGGCAATTTCAGGGCTTTTAGGGACAATGCGGACTGAGGGGAGTGATAGCTGGCTAGCGTCTCTTCCACCTTCGGCATCACAACATAGCTGTTCTCTTTATAGCCAACTATCGATGAATAGCATGATGTTTGTGTACACCCGATAGAAGACTGGTTTCTTCAATGATATTGACACCTCGGTGTGGAGGTTATCCAGTTCACTCTTTGGATGAACGTCCTGATTCTCAGCTGCAGTCAATGTTTAACCTTGCAACACCGCGAGTCACAACCTCCATTAGCTCCTCGTATGCAGGAGAGTGAGTTGACGAGTCCTCAACATCTCCTGCCTCAATGCTTACAACATCTAACTCCTCAGAGCTAGATTATTGGTTCACACTTTATTTCGATAGTCACTTAAGACATTCTACTAACTATAAGTAACTTTTAAACTACATGTCAACTAACTGTCATTAGACAGACTGATCTCATGAAGTAGCGTGTGTATGCCACGCCAATTCGTATTTCCATTTTTGGCGTGCTATCAAGACGCATAATCGCCTTTCAGCGTGTTTATGAACGCCGTTGACTTAACGTTATATAAATATATGACTTACCTCAACCGCGTCCCTAAACCTAACCGTCACTGGGGTTAATGGCATTTATGACTGTTCCCTTACCATCCTAGGTAAAAAAAAGATATGACTTACCTCAACCCCATCTCTAAACTTAACCGTCACTGGGGTTAATGGCATTTATGACTGGAGATTTGACTGCGTGTACAGACACGCGGAATGACGCGGACGTTAATGGCGTAGACATACACGCATACACGCGGATAGCTCAAAATGCGTAGAGATGACACGCCACCTGACTCGAAAGTGGCGTGTATGTTTACGCAAAAGTCATGATGTCATGTTGCATTAGAGTATTAGTAGGCTGTAGTCAAGACGTCATATAACTGACCTGACGTCTTGGGACGTCTTGTGACCATACGTCAACATCCGCCTTTTTAGGGTACCCTTAAACGTCAGTTACATGACGTTGTCGGATCCTAACCCTACCCCAGACCTAAACCTACCCCATCACCTAACCGACGTTAAAGGTAAAGCGTCAGTTGTATGACGGCCCGGGATCGTCATGTAACCAACGTTTAAGGGTACCCTAAAAAGGCGGATCTTGACGTATGGTCAAAAGACGTCCCAAGACGTCAGTTATATGACTTCTTGGGATTAGACTGTGTTACTGTAGTAGACTGTCAGTAGACTGTTAGGTTAGGGTTCAGGTTAGGAGAACAAGTTGACTTGTAGTTGCTAAGTTACTTATAGTCAGTAGAATATCTGTTGGGGGACCATCAAAATAAAGTATTAAGCATACAGTCTACTGATACTCTAATGATAGTTAGTTGACATGTAGTTGAAAAGTTACTTATAGTTAGTTGAATGTCTAAAGTGGACTATCAAAATAAAGTGTTACCGATTATTGTCTCAGTCAGGGTGGAAGACACAGCAGCAAGTGCTTCCAAACCCTGAGAGAGAACGCACTGGATCTAGCAGGGGAGGGCAGAGATAAGGCCATGCTTATGGGGGAAAGACAACACCAAATAAGACAAACGATTTCACAGAGAGTGCTTACTGAAGACACCGAAGGCAGAGTTACATTGTTTGGGCATGCTTTATAGTTCCCTGGTCCATGGCCTCTGACATCTTCACACGGGCTGCACAACGTAATCACGCAGAGTGTTCAAACAATGCAGCGCAAGTTCCCTCGAAAAGAAAATAAATGATTTGTAACATTGTAAGTTTCTTTACTCTGACTGTTACTTGATCAATTTAATGTATCCTTATTGCATAAAAGTAAATTGCTTGTAAAAAAAAAAAATTGTTAGTGACTTTTGAATGGTGTATATATAAAAATAGGCCTGTAATGATAACATATAATACAAAATATAAGAAGAATTGTATCATCTAAAATGCTTTGTTTTGATCATTTTTTTCTATTTGCAATTTCACTTTTTTTATCAGTTTCGTTGATCATCAAATGTTTTTATGATCATGTGGATGCTAACAATGATCTTCAAATGAAATGAAAGGTTCAGCCATTGTAGCCCACACTTCAACCTACACGTCTTCTCCAGAGCATTATAGTCGAATACAAATGCAGCTGCAGTGTGAGTGCCACTGCTAGAACTCCATTGTTTGATTGTTTTGTTTACACTATGGAAAGGTCACATTCAGCGTGAAAGTGAAAGTAAACCCACCTTTTCTTTGAACCATGTGCATATCTGTAATATTCGGAAATGATTTATTGTCAGCATTTTGGCTCCTAACCATAAATTATTTAGGTAAAGGTCAGATTCTGGGTCTTAGCGTCAGTTTACGATAAAAATTATTGTAATCGCTGAACACATACAGAAAACTGTTGGCAGAGGTTGTGTTATTCAGCCTGAGGGTTGCGCTCTATAATGTTGATGATTGACAGGCTTTAAAGGGATACAGTAGTTCATCCTAAAGCCCTTATTTCACCCTTCTTGCTTTTATGGACCATGCACATAAAAGGAGGAATTAAAAAAAAAATGTTCTTTTCGTGCTCATCCATATAGCCATTTTTATTTATTTGATATTATTCCTTTTGTGGTCCATAAAAGAAAGAAGGGCAAAGGGCATTAGATCAACACCAGTATATTATGACTGGTTCTTGCTGGAACTTATGGGATCCTTTAAGCACTTTGTATTCAATTCAGAGGTTCTGGAGTCATCTTTTCATTAGCACGAATCCTCGAAGTGCTTTGGGGGAAAATAGAGGAACTTGAATGCTATAAAAAGGTTATTGTAAGATCTTTTAACATTTAAGTGGTTCCTGGAAGATCTCTTATGTTAAAGCCAAGATCATGAGGAACCCACATGGTTCTGTGAGGCCAGAATAAGATTATTATTATTATTATTATTATCCTATTATTATTATACTTTAAGTTTCATAAATATATTTAATATATAGGTATACTTCTGATCCAGTAGACTACATAGGCTTACATTTATATAGGCTTATTTTATTGATTAATTGAAATCTTAAACAACAACAATGAAGAAGAACAGCAGGAGGCAGGAGGAGAAAAGTTTTATTCTGCCACGAAACTGCTGCTATTCCTCTGCTGTCATCTCTATCATTGGACCTCATTGGACTTCAGTGAACCTCGCGCGCAACACAGATCATCACCTGATCATCATCGGATTTGAAAGTATCCCAGCAAACTCAGAACGTTCCCCTAACGTTCCCGAATGGTCCCATGAGGTTATTTTTTTGGGAACCAAACAAGAACGTTACAGGAACGCTCTGTGTAGGTTATTTTTAGGTTCCATTTTTATAACGTAAGGAGAATGTTCCGGGAACGTTTCCTTAACCTTATGGGAAAGTTCTAGGAACCAAAAACTTACGTTCCCAGAACCTAAATTTGTTTGCTGGGAAACGGCTCCTCTTTAATCAAAGCTTCAGCTGTTTGTTCGGCTCTCCGTTACAAGGTTTGTAAACTCGCCAAAGAAATATAAATAGCTACAGATTCTACTCATATATTCAAACACATACTTATAAACTAAAGTAATTTTTATTTATTTATCGTGTTTACAATGTTTACCACTCACAGTGGAATGAAGGTTTGAGCCGCGATGGTTACTAACGTTAACTTAAGTTAATGAACTAACGTTAACGTTAAAGCTACACTGTGTGATTTTTACCCCCATCTAGCAGTGAAAAGGTATATGACCATCCAGAGAATATTAGTTTCTGTTCCTCTCAATTCCGATTTCGTTTTAACTCCTACAGTGGCCAATGTAGTCCAAGAGTAACATGGCTTCCAGTTCGACCTCGTCCATGCATGAGTGTTAACTCAAACGTAAACGCGAAAGGCGAAGCTTGAATTAACGGGTATGTCCCTCTTTGGCTAATGTGCATTCAAGATGGAGGGGCAACATGGCGACCGACATTAGAACCCCTTACCCGTATGTATTTTCAATGCATATTATACACTCACGAGAATACTTCATTACTTGAACGAAGTAAATATACATTAATGAGCACATATATTTTTTATATAAACTAAAAGAGTTACACAGTGTAGCTTTAAAGAATAAATGAAAATCACTGACTTATTGTCTTAGATTCTTTTAGTCATTCAATTCAATCTATTCTGTAGGCCTACAACTGTGTCTTCAAATCGCTGATATAACTAATCAATAGTTGATTCCTGACGATATAGGTAATGTTTTTGTGTATACCATTTTCAAGCCAATTACTGGTCAATAAATATTATGTTGTGAATAGATATAATCAGCTTTGTTCTTTTGTTTCCCCAGAACAACCTGTATTTCTAAAATCATCTGAACATTTCAGAGGCAATGTTGAATTACAGTAAGTTACCTGCACCACATGCAATGAACTTTTCTGTGTGAAATTGTTCTGTTTGACTGTGTACTTTATGTGTTTTTAAACAGTTATTCTCTGAGAATCTTCCCTCATGCTCTCAAATCTCATTCATGTTACTCAGAAAAAGTTATATCACAGGTTTGGCGCCAATAAAGCTATGCTTTTTTTTTCCTTCTTATACCTGAATCATTTGCATTGAATAGAAGACATTTGGGTAACACTTTATAATAACTGCATGCTATTAATCATTAGTTAAGCATGCGTAAACAGTTAATACATCATTTATAAAACATTAATAGACATTAATATGCAGTTTATAAATATAGCTATACATGCTTTTTTCTTGATTTATAAGCATATCTATAATGCGTTTAATGATTGTATTTTCATACTTTGTTAATGATCAATTAATAATTTCTAAATGAAGTATAACATTATTTGCAAACCAGTTGTTAAAGAGTTGTCAGTCATTTATAAGACCACTTAGAAAGTGTAAGTAAATGTAGTAAATACAGGTAGTTATAAAGCATTTATTAGTGGTCAGTTAACTATTTTTGTGAGCTAATCTAAAGTGAGGACTATTCATGCTTTGTAAAGCATTTATAACGGCGATTTAAAGACTCGTCAATCTTCTAAACAGTAAAATGTAACAAACACAACGCAGTGATAAAGAACATAGAAATATTTAACAGCCTTTAAAAATGCTTTACAAGGCATGAATAGTCCTCACTTTAGATTAGGTCACAAAAATAGTTAACTGACCACTACTAAATGCTTTATAACTACCCAAATTAATCCTTAATTACAGCATTAATACATGTTAATAAAGCATTTATTAACACATTAATTAACCATCACTATATGTCTGAATAATAAGATGTATGAATGTACATTTAAATAGTTTATTAATCATTTACTTACTCGCTCTAAGTAATCGTATGAACCACGGACAACTCTTAAATAACTGGTTTATAAAAAATGCAATTCTTCATTTAGAAATGATAAATTGATCATTAATAAAGGATGAAAATACAATTATTAAACAAATTATAGATATGCTTTTAAATCAAGAAGAAAGCATTTATAGCTGTATTTATGAACTGCTTATTAATATCTATTAATGCTTTATGAATGATGAATTAATGGTTTACTCATGCTTAACTAATGATTATTAGCGTGTAGTTATTGTAAAGTGTTACCGACATTTGAACTCTGAATTATAACTTCAAGTTGAGTTTTTTTTAGACAAAAAAAAAAAAACACCACTGGTGGTGGTTGAGGAGATTCCCCTCTCTATGTAAAGCACTTTGAGTGCTGAGAAAAGCACTATATACATGAAATGAATTATTATTATTATTATTATTATTATTATTATTAAAAAGCTATTAAATGGCTTCAGATGACTTACAACACAACTCATAACACATAAGTTGTGGACTGCATTTAAATGTTTTAATTTTTTAGTATCTTTTCTGGGACATTTTTGGAGCTTAACAGAATATCCATTTTTACATAAATTGTTGCATTGAATTGATCTACACAAGTCAAGTGTACATATGGTTTCATGAATGATTTACACAATTTAGTTCTGCTTGTGTTTCATGCAGTGACTGGGGTTGCATTATGCCTGAGATCTGCTTTTGGGTTCCACATACAAAGTCAAACAGGTTAGGAATGTCACGAGGCTGCGAGGAAATTATTTTAAGTTCACAAATATCACTTTCATAACATTACTTACAGTATTGTTTGTTCTTAGCAGGGACCTCGGTAAGCTGAAGTGTACAAGCCGAATAAAAATCCTATGGAGAAAATCATTGAAGTGCCTGGACCATCCACCAGAAAAGAGGAAAAACAAACGGAAAATGAAGCTGCTGCATCTTTTCGCTTTTCTCACTTGAGTACCTCACACGTCCCTTGTGAAGATTGCATTTTATGTTGCAGCGAGCAGAGGTGCGGTCACATTTTGTGAAATACACAGGCAAAAAGTTCATTGATCATTGTCATCAGTGTAGCGACGAGCACAGCTCACACAGGAGTCACTTCCAAGGAGCTTTCTGGTGGTCAAACCCAGACAATTCCAGTGACCAACTTGGGCTCATTTTTGACCACACATGAAATTGCTGATTGTGTGGATTCTTATTAAAATGACTGAAAATTCAGTGAACAACAGATAAATAGTAACATTTTACAGTAAGGGTACATGGGTTATCATGAATTCATGTATAAATGAATGCATGGATTATGCATTTATTCATGCATTAATATCTCTTGAATCATCAGGAGCTAACACAAGTTCAATATTTTTCATTCATGACTTCATGAATGAACAACACCTTAATTAAAACATCAACTAAGATGAGCATGATCATGATGTTTTCTTTGTCTAGGTCAGTAACCTAGTAACCACTTTAGTTGAGGGGCCACACACATGATGAAGTCATTAATAGATTAATGCTTAGTTAATCATGACTACTGTATTGGACCAAAATTGACCAATCACAGCTCATAGCACGCAAATTTAGCTAATCAAATACGGAAGTCATGATTAACTAAGCATTATCTATGAATGACTTCATCATGTGTGTGGCCCCTCAACTAAAGTGGTGACTAGGTCCTTTGAAACGCTGATGATGATCATGTGTAATTAATAATAATTCATGATGATGTGCTCATGTTTTAATTAAGGTGTTGTTCATTCATGAAAACGTTGTTCCTGATGATTCATGAGATATTAATGCATGAATGAATGCATTAATTTCTACATGAATTCATGAAAACCCATGGACCCTTACCGCACCTTAACTCTCTATCTTGTTTCTAGTGAGAATACTCAACAGCCATTTATGAGCACTGTTGATTCAAGTCACAACAAAGTCACTTTTCAAAACTCAGAGTGTACATTACAGTCTCAGGGCATCCCAGGCTTCAATATTTTACCATTCAAAAAAGCTGAATAACTAACCATCTGAGATTTGATATATATATATATATATATATATATATATATATATATATATATTGATTTGCACCGTTTGTAGTTTATTTATGGCATCTGATAGAGATTTTGGATTTGGAAACAGTGGCACTTTAACCAGCTTTACACAACTTAAGTGAAGATGCACTTTTTTAAAAATATTGATTTATTAAATGGAACATATGTGTTTCCATGCATTTTGTTGAGATGTTTTCTTGTACATTGTTGATTATTCATGTTGCTTATGTATTATACTTTTTTGTGTGTATTCTATTCATTGATATTAATCTATTACTAGCCAAGTACATGGAAGTGTATGTATTAAAGTGGATCTAAAATATGTAATAATTCTTATTTTGTATTTGGTTCAGTTTGTTTATTATAATATAAGTTAATGCTAACCATTGTAACTACATGAAATACCAATAAATAAATAAAAATTGGTTCCTGGAGGCACCCAAAACGTTTTGTTTGTGGTTTTGTTTCAAGATTATGTTTTATGTATTTTATTTTGAAATGTCCTGGCTCCTGTTTGTCAGATGATTCCTTGTCCTAAATGGCATCTTGTCTTTTGGGTCCCTTTAGTTAATATGGCATGTCCTGATTAGCTGTGTTTAATACTGTCAAACACCCTTTTATTTGTCCTGCACTAGAACTTTATGGTTTGGGTGAAAATGTTTGGAGTATAATTGAGAATACTAGGATAATACTGTTCTGTTTCATTGTCAGAAGGGACTACTCCATGCTGTAATATGATCCGAGGTAGGCAATTACACAAAGTTGCCCCATTTCATTGTAACCTTTTATTTTGGCAGCTGAAATGCTTGCTCTCGCAATCAAAAATTCAGACATTGAGCAACTGAAGGTTCTTGATGATTCCATAGTAATGTGATCAATCAAATGACTAAGTCTTATTGTTAAAGAATATTTTCCAGGTCCCAAAAACTCTCAAAATTCCTTTGGCTTATGTTTTAATTTGAGTAAATGTAAAACTAATTACTTTTAAAGATTCTCATCTCACAGCAATCTGTGGTGAACCAAACATATCTACTGGTTTGACTGGCCATGTGCTTGTGTTCATGTCTGAAGGTGTTAGAGGTTTAGATGGACGATTGGAAAGGTTTTCTTTTTAAAATGTATTTAAAATTCACTCAATAAATAAATAAATAAATAAATAGGTTACTCGTTTTGTTTTTGACATATTGTATTGATTTGTTCATTAATAGCTAATATAGATTTGAATTTAAATATCTAAAAATCAAGGGTGCTATTTCATACGTTCATGTTTGCATGAAGAACTCACTTTGTTTTCTAGGCAGAGTATGCAAAGCATGAGGCTATTTTCCTCTGACTGTATTTACTGCTGACGGTTCATTCCAGTGCATGAATAATCTTCTATTTATTGCTATTACAATGTTGGTGGGATTTCCTCTTTTGTGGGGTCTAATTATAATTACGCTAATATACACACCAAGTATAAAGTTAAAATTGTTAGTCATGATGACTGTATAATCTTTATCACCAGTGAGATATTCCATTATATCATTATTATCTGACATCTGTCATTTATCTGTTTATTCTGATGATATACAAGATAAAAGGCCCTGCGGACTGTGGGAGGATTAACAGAAATTTTGCCCACGGCTGACCTTTCTCATTTACCACAATCTATCAAAAACATTGGGCGAATGCCATGCAACAGATGACATTATTTGCTTTTTTATGCTTCTTTGTTTTTGATTGTGATCTTCACACTCACATTGGCTCAGGCCAGTGTGGCAGAATGAATTTGAGAGGCAGCTCTCTGATTACATTATGGAAACCACAAAGCATGGAATCTATCCACTGGAGCCATGGAGCATATGTTAGCATATGCAAATTTGTTTGGAGAAACATGTCAGTGGATCACGTCATTTGTTGATGGGTCTGCTCACGGTGAATCGGAAATAGTAGACATACTGTTGTCTTTATTGCGGGTGAATTACATGAGGCTTTTTTACTTGATTCACTAGATTTATCAACACTTGTTTCTTTCTAGTTTGAAAAACTGCAGAGCAGCACAATTTAAAAAAAAAAATCCCCATTTTAAATTATGATATCAGGAAAACACACTGTAAAAAAAAAATATTGTTGGTTTAACTTAAAAAAGTAAGTAACCTGGGTTGCCTTAAAATTTTAAGTTGATTGAACTGGAAAAAGTGAGTTAATACAATGAAGGAGATTGATTTAATCATCAGAAACTCAAAATAATAAGTTATCTCAACTAAATAAATTATTATAAAGTTGATTTGACAAAAGAAAATATGTTGTGATAACAAATCTTGAAAATATTTTTTACAGTGCATCTCTGTCTCCATGCATGGGCATATAAGTAAGTGGAGTTGCCTTTGTTCTTCTGTTAATGTATGGATTGAAAATGTGGGTAACACTTTACTTGAAGAGGTGTGACATGACACCTTCATAACCCTGACATATATGAAGAGTTCAGATGCAAAAGCCTCTAAGTGCCATTGGAAATTTTCTTCTAAAATGATCATTTTTATCAAGCTAATATATTCAAGTTCAGTAATTTCACTTAAATGACAATTAATAGGTAATCCTCATTGCAATTTAAGTGAAATTACTGAACTTAAATATACAAGCTTGATAAAAATGATCATTCTAGAAGAAAATTTCAAATGGCACTTAGAGGCTTTTGCATCTGAACTCTTCATATGTCTTGAATATGAGGTAAGGTGACAACTGTCATAAAGTGTCTTTCGCTCAATGACATTTCGAATGCAAAAATGACATTTTTTAACATGACATCTTGACATAAACCATAACATCATAACCTGTCAGTGTCTTTTTCATGACAACTTGACATAAAATTAAGTTAAACTGTCACGTGGTTGGTTTTGACGTGAGTCATGAGGCCATTATAACTGTGTCGGATATTTTTCGTGACCTCAACTACAGTGGTACTAACTGAATTTGTCATTAAAAAGTTATAACGGCTTCATGACAGCCAATGTCAAAAACAACCACCTGATTGTTTAATGTAATGTTAACCAATAAAGAGGTGGTTTCTTAAGTTTGATAATTAATCTGCTATGTCATATAACTTGTGCACATTACTGAGGTATTTAGGGTATACTTTTACAAGGATCACTGAACAAGAGACTGAAAACGAATGTAAGCAAATATTTATTGCCGTTTTCACAAGACCCCATTGATTTTGTTCAACATAATCACCCTCCACTAACCTTTTTCCCACACCATATATTTGCATAATTGTTTATATATTTCCCATGTGAACATTATAACGTTGCAGGTCAGGGAATAAACGCCTTCACAGGGTCACAGGGTCTCTCTTTTTCCTCTCTGTGTATCGAGTAACATTTACACATAAAGCAGAAGAAAAACAGAGTAAATTCAATGCTGTGATGACAGTGATGATGCTTTAGGCCAACCGAGTTCAAGTTTGATCTATGACGTTATCATTTAAGCAGTAAAGTCAACCTGAAACAGTGTCATTATGTTAAAGGAATGACTAAGAGGATGGAATTCCCTTTCTCTTATTGTATTGTAACTCTCATGGTCTGTCGGAGCCCACACGTTCACATCTCCCACAGACTCTCGTAATGGTATTCTGCCGCAAGCCAGAATCTATTGTTTAGCATTTGGCGCGCATGAGAAAAAACAACAAGAAAACAGAGCAGGTGTGAAATTGTTGTTCCTCCAATTCATTATTAATAACATGTTTATAATGTAGTAATTTTTGTCAAAATGTATTAAATCTTGTATATAAAAACCTTTCCAATGTAATAAAGATTTTTCACATTATGTAAGGTTATTGTATGAGAAATACATTATGAAGGCACTGTAGTACCTTATAGTTCATAAGGTAATAACAGCACATAATGTATTAGTGAAACTATGTTTTCAAAATAATAATTATCTTTTAATGTAATTAGCGAGTCCACTGACTGTAGGCGAATTTGCAGACCCCAAGTGCAGTTTTATTTAAAAAAAAACAACAACACACATTTAACCTAGAAATACATTTTAAGAATTATGCACAAATTGTAAAAAAAAAAAAAAAAATCTGCTTTCAAGTTTAATCATTTTTGTGTTATAGTCATTTAAATGTTTGCCATGAAAACGTGTTTTTATATTCTACAAAAATACAAAATGTATTAATAATGCTGGCCATTGTCACATACACTCACCTAAAG